GCGAGTTTGGAGAAGAATGGGTGAAGATTGGATTAATAGATGGATAGAATGTCTTGCAATGTAATTACTTTTTCAGACTTTGTTTTCTAGGAGCTTCCTTGTCCAGATTTGACACTTTCCTGAAATCAAATTCTAAAATTGTTCATGAATTTTATACTTTAAAGTGAAAATGTTGTTAATTGTTCATCTATAGGGCAGGAATTCACTTCTCTGTCTCTTAGACTGGGGCTAATGAACCAAGCTCCACATCTGTTTGTGTATGTCTGTGTGTGTGTGAGTACATCTGAGTGAGGTTAGAAATAAGAACACAGGGGACTAAGAAATGTTTTCTAATTAAAACTGCGTTGTGCTCAGGTTATTAATGTTCATTAAACAACCAAAGAGTCTTTTTTTTTTGGCCCTTGAAGTCTCCGTATCTTTGGGGCAAGGTTTATTAATATGCTTGGCGGGGATGAAAATGAGCTGACACAAAAGGATGAAATGAACCCAAGAAGATGTGAGTTAATGACTTACTGATCTGGCAGCGGTCTCCCAGTGCCTGAAACTGGGAACAGTCGCACACACCGTCCTCCTGACACCAACCTCCATTAAGACAGCCACAATATTCTGAGACAGATACACAAAAAGTCAAATCCCTTCTTTACAGAGTTTCATGTTATGTAAAATTGAAGTGAATTCTTTGATAATATTTACCCGAAGATTCATCCCTGGTTGTGTAGTTGTGCAAAATACTGCGGGACAGTGTACTTTCTGACAGCAGTGGCCTATATGTCTTTAAAAAGAAAACAGACACTTATTTTATGCAATAAAATAATAATGCAATAATAATTCTGTAGATCTCACAGCCTGATTGAGTCAGTGCTGCACCAGTTGTGCATCTTCTGCTGTGAGTTACAAGTTGTATCAAACTAAGTGGGTGAAATGTGTACGTGTTAGTCACCGTGTCCTGCTGGTTACAAAGGCAGCTTTGTGTCGTATGAGGTGTGTGCATGTGGGTGCCCTGACCTCCTCTGGTTCTCTTAGGTGTAGTGTACAAACCTCCTCCCCAAGGAGATCCCGTTTCCTCCGAAGTGCATTAGCCCTCCTGCGCTCACACAAACATGCACATTAGTGGGAAGAAACAGTCAGAGGGGAGACTTAAGTGCACTTTACACCACTTGAATCAGGACTCTAAACTGCTTTTCTCTAAAGCCTTGCACACACAAAGTGCAAGTTCACATTCAATCAGTCTCTGTCACACACATGGTTTAAGTTGAGAGCATGCATTTATCATGGTCTTCAGATTTGGTTCTAGATATTTTGTTGAGAAAAAAAAAAGCTGCTTTCACATTACTGTGATTCATTTACCTCTGTGATCTTCCCTCTGCCACTGAAAGTCGGCTCTGACCTCCTAAATAAAATGTCACAGCATCAGAATTAGAGAAGATAAGTGAAGTATGATGCATTCAGGGAAAATATCTTCAATTAAAAAGTTAAAGTTAATGACAGACCAAACCTTCACAGATCTAAATTTAAAATACCATTTTAATTTTACCAATACATTCATTTCAAATAATGGGAGGTAAAGCTAATGGTATGGAGTACCACAACCACTATCGCCGCTTATATTTTTGGAGAGGGCCAATGATTAGGGTGATGGCAAGGAGGTCATCTAATCTCATAGACCTCGAGCGAAAAAATAGATTAACAAAAAGTGAACATAAGCCCCAGGCCTGTCAGCAGTTATAATAAAGCACACATTTGGTTTAAGTAATTCAATTTTAATTAATGTACCAATAGTTAGCTTTCTTCTGATTGTGTAGAATTGTATCGCTAGTTTTTAAACAAAACGCCTGAGAAATGATCTTTTTCAATATCCTTTGTTTAGGCTATTTTTTTTTTTTTTATCTTTTAGTATATGACTTCCTCGTTTTGTGTCAGAAAAAATACTTATTTTGGTTAAATGGATATGAATTTTATAATTTTCTCCAACAATTTGGACTTATGTCATCAAAAATTGTAAAAATAACTTGAACCTTTTTTTTAACAATTGCTGATGTTTTGAAGGGATATTTATAGCTGATGTTTTCTGTATGCTTAAATATGATTATATATCAAACTTTTATTTTGTACACAAACAGTCCAAGATGTGGGCTAATTTCATAAAAACATCTCACTTGAAAATATTAATACTGAATGTCTGAAGTTATTCTAAATGAGCAAAAATCAGACTTACCTTCAAATAACAAGTGGGAGACTGAAAACGATAAAAGAAGAAATCGTTTCAATGTCCACTTCCCGTTCATCTCAGAATTTGAAAGGGTCACACCGAAATGTTAACGGGGCATCTCAGGTGTCCCGACAGGAGAGGATTTAGGGAATCAGGATTCTGGAAGAAGGAAGTAGTGTTGCCTGTACAGCTACCTGGAGGAGGCGGCGGCGGCAGCTCCTCCTAAGGAAGATGACGGTTTGTGCACACCTGTGTGTGCAGGTGAGCCTGCAGTGAGCTCTCTGTTACACCCACACTCCAACCTGAGCCCCACTGCAGGGATTTAGAGGAAAAAAGAACTACAGAGCATGCCTTGGTTCTGACCAAAACGTCAGTTTTTTTTGTTTTGCTTTTAATCTTGGGCAGACCATGAAGACTAATAAATAATAAATGATGAAATTGATTGAAAAACAATCACCATAATTGCTAGGCTACCATGGCCAAAATAATATATCATTATAAAATAACTAAAAGCTATATAATTTACAGGAACATCTTGAAAATAGTCAATCTTTTATTTGATTCCACATTTAGCAAAGATATTGCTTAATACATGTTTAATCTTGCTAACTGTGATTTGCATTTGAATCACCTTTAAAGATAAAAAATAATCACAATAACAGTATGATCAAGCTTATAGTTAGAGGGGCTCCGGTTATCCTGAGCTATTTTTAGAGTTATGCTGCTATAGCCTTAGACTGCTGGAGGACATAGGGACCCTTTTTCATCATTCTGCTTCATTCTATTTCTATTCTCCCACTCTGCAGAATTTGTTTGTTCAATCTCTAACGTTATGCTCTCTCGGCTTTTTCTCATAGTAGCTTATTCTGGTCTTTTATTTTGTTTGGCTGTGACACCATCTGGGAGAGAAATATCAGCTGTGCTACTGCCATCAACACCTTTGTTTATAGATGTTGGCGCTTGGCCTGTTTTTCAGCTTAGTCTTGTTTCTCTGGCTGTGGATAACTGTATGTGCTCTCTTTCAACCTCTGACATGGGATCTGGCTTGGAGCTCGTCTGCCTGGCTGCATCTTTCCTGGATAGGGCCGCCTGTGTAGCTGGTTGAAAGTTATCTTTTGTATATTTGCTTCTTTTTGTATGTCTCCATCTATCTTCTTGGTTCTGCTGGAGGTTTCTTCCTGTTAAAAGGGAGTTTTTCCTCTCCACTGTCGCTACAGGCCTGCTTGGTGTGAGGGATTGCATTCAAGGTTTTCCTTAGATAGAAAACTTTGAATCAGTTTGACTGTATGAGCTGGTTGAATTGTAAGGTGCCTTGAGATGACATGTGTTGTGAATTATGAATAAACTGAATTGAATTGACTATCTTATATGAGTATTTGAAATATAATTTGCTAAATTATGTAGATTTATTACATAGAGCATGATTTCCATTTGTGATTTCAATTACAGAAATTTCAATTTTCAGGAAGACTGAGTTGTTGTCAACAAAAAAAAAAAAAAAAAAAAGCCCCAGTAATATTCCCATGTACTTTCTTAGTGTATGGTCCCCAAACATGGCCATTTGGGGTAGAGCTCCTTCTGCATGGATTGAAGCATAAGACCACTGAATCAATGCAGCATGCTGTGGTGGTACTAGACCAAAGATATGTCATTGTTTTTTCATGAAAGCACAAACAAAATAATGAAAGAAATAAACGAAAGAAGCAGGGCAATATTTAATTGTTTAAAAGATTGAGTGAAGCAGGAAGCCACTTGCACCCATGTACACCTAAGAATTGGCAGATAAAAACTGGAGCCTGTCTGAATATATCAGAGCCTAAAAATGGAACAATTTAAATGTTCTATCATTAGTAAAATGAAACATCAAAAGAAAAATGCAGTTGCTCTAAGGAACTCACCAAGTTATGGCTTCCATGCTATTACATATAATAATTATACATTTTATCAAGTATTGTGTCTTTAGTGTGGGGCCATAAATGTAGCCTGGCCAACCAGACTGACTTACACAGGCCATAAGTCAGCCTGGTAAAGGCTGACGGCTCACAACTCTCTGGTCTAAAACAGACTGGACCAATGACGGCGCGGGACGCTGGCCCTCAAAAAACAACAAAAAACATAAAACTGTTTACATCATTAAAATTTTAACAATTACACAACCGACAACTGAATGAGTTTTTTTTTTTTTTTAAAGAGAAAAGCACAAGTTTTTATGCATCAGATCCATAGTTGTGTAATTGGTTCTAACTTGATTATGCTGACCCTGTTAGTCCCGCCATGAAATCAAGCTCTACCAGCTCTTTACACACACCAGCCTTACATTGTATCCCCCCCACCCCACACACACACACGTCATTTTGATGAGTAGAAAGAAAATGGTTACTAATTAATTTTTTTTTTTTTTTCAAAGGTAAGTTAATTCTTAAGAGGTTTGTCTCTAAGAGGGCTTTAGTAGGATTGTCTTTAAAAGAACATGTGACCCTTTGATTTTGATTTTTAACAGAAAAAAATATGATCTAATCTAAATTAATTATTTATATTGCTCCTAAAATACAAAAAAATCATCTTATAACTAATCAAAATACTTCAGAATAGTATTACCTTGGATAGGCGGTGTGAATGTTTAAAACCCTCTTAAGTAGCCGGCTGATATAAAAAATATATGTATATAATATGTAGCTAATCATTTCAGTAAATTACAGACTGTTTTCCTTCACCTTATAGAACTTGTTACAAAGTGGATGGAGTACTTTGATTTGTCTCCCCCTACTGGTGAATTTTCTTTATAAGAAAAGCGTAAATATAACAAATGTGACATAATATATCATCTTTTTTTATTGCACTTTACATTGCAGTGTGTCTTCAAATTAATGTTTAGGATGAAGCATAAATAAATGAGTAACTTATTGGAAAGCCTGCAGCCTCAAGTATTTTGACAAACTGTTCATGAAAATATTTATATGGTTTATATAACATTTGTATAGCAAAATTTAGGAAAAGTAAGGTTAGTAGATAGGCCTGAATTAATTATTTGATCTTCCTATACACAGGTTATTTCTTGTTGGAAATTAATGACTTGACTTCTTCTTCTGATTTAAGGCTGTGCCACTGGGCTATTGGGCGTCGTGGGTTGGCCAGCATGTCTGACCAGTGGCGTAGCTCAGTCCCAGTGCTGTTGCCGCCCAGCAGCAACTTCCCAATGGCATCATTTTTCCCAATCTTATCATAATCAAGCACTGTAACAGCTAACTGCACCTTCTGTAAAGAAAACACACAGAAAACAAGATTTACAGGTAGTCATAATCATGTGCATGCATACCCAAGCTTCTGTTTGTTGTACCTCTATCTGTTCAGATGGCACTTCAAAGCTGAATGACTCATTGTAGTAAGGGTTTAAAGTGTTTTTCTTAATAGTAGTTTTCTTTTTCTTCAGTCTTTTGCCATTCTGCATTAAGTGGATCTTCACGTATGGGTCTGAAAGAGAACAGAGGTGTTTTATGTTAAAGCAGCGGACCAAAAATCTTGGCACCAGTGCTGTAACTCTATCAATGAAAAGCAACTTTAGTTGTAGTGATTCTTTATTTGAAGTCCAAATGAACTGAGGTGACCCATCTTACCGTACACTTTTAACGTGGAAAAAGGAACGGATAATTAGGCTAAAAAGTTTTTATATTTTTTTTTTTTGTTATTCCATTTTTTTATTGTAAAATATAGAAATTTCGATTTCTGAGCAAAGAAAATTACTTAATATAATGAAATTCATTTTTGTTTCATCATATCATAACTCAATTTTTTGTTAACCTTATGGATTTTTTTTTTTACTTAACAGCATATAAGCCCATATTGATTAAATAAAAAGTAATTCTATTTCTTCCTGGCCTGCTGGTCCACCAAAAGCGCTGAAGTTTCTGTTTTTGAAAATCATTTTAAAGCTAAATACAGAATCATAAATTTTAAACTGCTTTTGAAAGGATCAGTAGATTACAGTTCCTTCTATTTTTTTCCTAAATATTATAGATTGTATATGTCTTAGCTTTGCCTAGATGCCAAATAACAGCAATGCAACACTGTGAACACTGTAAAATGGATGGAAGTTAGGTTTAGAATTGTGTTATAAGTATGTGAATAATGATAAAGAAGTCAATAATTTCATAATGAGCTGGCAGAAAAATATCACGATAACCAAATCGGGAAAAGTATGGAACTCTGAAATGGAAAGTTTAAATCAACTCTGTAGTGTTTTCTCACCTGATAATCCGCCCACATCCATTTTTTTCAGATTCTTGGCCTCCAAGACAACCACTGTCAGCTTCCCTGCAGTCGGTACAAACCTCAAGGACAAACAGATGTCTCCAAGCCGCTCGCTCTGATACGCAAACATTAAGACCATGTTGGAAGGATTTCTAATGATGGCTAACAATGTTGAATGGGCACAGTGAGCTGCTTCCCAGTTACCAGATACGAAATTATTTAAAATGATATAATATTGGTTGATTTCAAGTAACGGACACTGTTATTCTGAGACTATTTACTAACTTAAAATACTTTTGAAAAAAAGGAGGCTTTTAAATATGTAGAATTTTTTTTTTTTTTTTTTCAATTTATTCTCCCACCTCCTCCTTCTCTGCCTTCTGCAGATCTCTCCACTCCTGCAGAGACTGGCTGAAGTCCACACTGCTCATCGGTATCTTTATTCCCCCGATTGCATCATGCTTTGAGAACCGGTCAAAGTCGTACACGGTCATTACTAGTGTCTTACCGCCCAAGTCTGTGTATGGCACCTGTAGGAGAGAACAAAACCAAGCAGAAGGTTACAGTGCTGCAAAAAAAAAAAAAAGGATTTACTCCTTTCCCTTAGGTTTATCTTTTTCATTGCACTAAAATGGTTTAAATATTTGCTAGTTGTTGTAGGTTTGAGAAAGATCATCTAAGTACATAAAAGGTATGATTTTTTTCAAATGAGGGTCCCTTTAATAGATAAATGTCTAAGAACAAAAAGTGACAAGCTGACTTTATTCTGGAAAGTAGTCAAGGAGTACATGGGGACAAAAAATTATTTTCTAAAGAAAGATTTTCCAAAACAAAGCAAATTTACATAGATGCTATGTCAATTGAATTAGTTGAGTATCTTTATACTGTGTTTAGGAGTCAAATCGTTTTGGATGCTCCTCATTCTGCTGCTTACCTTAAATGTGAAGCTTTCATTGAAGTTTGGTTCCAGCGTCTTCCTGTGGACTTTGGTTTCATATTTTTTCTTCTTGTCTGGGAGCAGGTAGACTTTAACATAAGGATCAGAGCTACCTCCCACATCCATCGCAGGAAGTTCTGACGCCTGCAGGATGCCAACCATCAGCTAGAAGGTGAGCACGGAGGACAGCAACAGAAAATGAAGACATGGCTCATATACAGTTGGCAGCTGAAACATACTGAGCGGCTGCATGAGCTCACCATATTTTCTGTGAAGTTGTAGTCTAATGTGAAGTGAAGTCGGCCGAGCTTCTCATCCTCTTTGAGCTCATGTTTTGAAAGCTTGGTTTCTTTCTCTGCTTCATCTTGTGTGGGCTGCAGACAGACATGCAAATGCTTACACACCTTTAAAAAAAGGACCCCCCTTTAACAAGGGTTGATGCTTCCTTTGTGCCGTAACCTATAACATTAGAAGCTGGTTGTTCAGATGAGGCAGACATCTGTTTAAAAACAACTTTTATTACCTCACCTTATCTTTAATTTAACATGTGCGAAAAGCAGTATGTCCATTAGTCTCAGAATGCACTGACAGTTTTACTCATCCTGGGTGACCCAGATATCAGGATTGTGATATATTATGAGAACAATCTATCTGCAGGAGGTGACTATGTCCGTGAACGTGTTCTGCTGTGCATGTGCATATGGTTGGTAGCTCACCTCAAGGTAACCCCCATCCATTTCAGTGTCAGAGCCTCCCTTGCTTTTCTCTTTCCCCTTTTTCTTGTCTTTTTCTTTGTCCTTGTCCTTTTTTATCAAGCACTTTTTCCAGATGCAAAAAGCGCATGACAGCACCATGCACAAACTGATGATGCAGAGAGCAGCTGCAGCCCAGGACGGTTCTATCACACCACAAGGATAGAAAACATGGGAGAGAATAACATCGCTTTTGCATTGGTTCCAGTTTATTATTTTGAAAATTTCTCCACATGTTTTTGAAAAATTGATAATTTCATGACATTAACATATTTCCTACTTTCCTAGTCCATTTTCTGTGTTATACAGTTGAGCCCCACTTGACAACTTTTTTCCATTATGAAGAATGCTTAGGGAAATCTACCATCTCTATTTACATAAGTCTATAGCTCAATAAAAAAAGGAATGTAATGATCCTGAACACACAGATCAATTTTAAGAAATAAAGTGCGGATTAAAAAGGATTAAGCTATATGGATTACGGGAATTGTAATTGTTCCATTCACTGAATAAATGCACTTGAAAAAAAGGATGACATTTTTCATATCATTGTTAGATTTAGTTACGGATGTAAGAAGGATTTTTCACACAACTCGATCATGGGTGACGAGAGGATAATGCATGTGAAACGAGTCTTACAACTGTTCAGGAAGTGAGTGCAAATCTGTTTTTGTCAAGTTTGATAAGGAGCACATATTTCTGATTTTCTATGTTTTCATTTGTGAAATTTTACAACAAAGTTGGTGCTAATAGTGCAATTTGTTTCGAATGTACCTAATTGAGGTAATATTTAAGATCCTGCTTTAAAGGTAGACTCAAATGTAGACTCTCAGACCATAGGACATTTTTCCCATATATTTTTGCATCCAAAGAACATCGGAACATTTCAGCAGTTATAAATGGCTTTGTATTCTTCTAACACAGATGGCCTTTATGGATAACGCAGTAAACACTATTAATTGATAATGGGTCTCCAAGGTACTCCTAGTCTCAAGTGTCTATATTGATTTTGGTGGCATAATATTTTCCCATGCTGTGCAGCTCCAGGCTTGAAGGTCACGTATATAAGTACAGGAGATTTCAGTATTTATCTTCATACTCTCAGACTCCCCCAGCTTCCCTCAAGCTTTTCATTGTAGAAAATGCTGTCAAAGACAACAAAGCTGCTCATATTCATTATTCCCTGACACCGTCTCATGACACCACTTTATCTGCTTGTAGTTGATTGAAATACTCAAAGCATTCCTGATGTGTTTGGAAAACATATATTAAATACTATAATTGGCCGATCTTAACTGGTCCAATGTGTCCATCTTTAAACTATAACATCAAGACATTCATTAAAATTGTTGTTTTGCAAATAAATAAAAAATAAATGAAGAGGCACATCAGGTGAGATGTTTTAATTACCCAGATTTTGAGTGAAATCTCGTTGTGCAGATATGTTAAACAATCATACCTCAGAAGCCCCTCAGGCCCTGGTCTCAACTTTAATCAAATCAGAATTGTTTTTGATGCAATGTCTGTCTAACGATTTAAAATGCCAGTTACAGGTGCAGCAAAGTTACAGGAAAAATTGGGATCATTTAAGCTTCTAGCATGGATTAAGATCTTAATAGAAATGTTTTCTGCATAAGGATGTTTTTAGAAAGGGCAGAGAAAATACACTACACTCACTACTATCATCAATCTACATTTTCTTTCTCAACAGGCACCGAAATATAATCATAGTTTTGAAATGATGAGTGAGTAACAATGGAAATCCATTTTCTGTCCAACTCACTGTGGATGCTCCGCAGTTCATTCATGAACCTGTTGGCTCTGTGGCTTCCAGTTTGGTTTTGGCCTGGCATACTTGTTGCATTTGGGATGTTAGTCTGGCTGAATGAGGAACTTGCTTCACCTCGGCGGTTCATTACCGATCAGAGTGACAGATCAGGGATTTAGCTGTCAGAAAAAAAGAAAGAAAAAAAGGGTTCAGCAAAATTTTCCAACTTCACCCTTCAAACGAAGCAGAAACTGTCACAGCTTTAAATCTCGTGAAGTGTGCACTTTTGTTTAATGTAATTTGAAGAGCCCTTTAGAGTAGACAGCATGAAGTTCCCTTATAGTCTGTTGATCAAATATTTGATGCAATACAGTGCTTAGAAATGGAGTATGTACATCAGTGTCAAATAACTTCTCCTGTTTCTGCTGGCATCGCAAAAAAACACTTGAACACAGGATATGAAAGCTGCTGTCTTTGCCAAAGCTGCTGAAATGCAGTTAAGGGGGTATGGATGAGGGACTGGGGGTGGAGGGGTGTGAGGCACCACGTGTGGATCTCCGCTGTTCTACACTCAGCTGCCAGAGGTCAGAATCGTGTGCCAAGGTTACGCCAGCGCATTAAATGGTGCCAAAATCTGACGACCGAGCGCAGGAAATGTTAGGGGCCGTTATTTCCGATTCTGCAGAAATCACAGGTATTGAGTATCTGAGGCTGAATCAGCACCTCCGTGCAGACACTGATCTCACTTTATTTCTCACTTTTTAGTTCTTTTAGAGCTTCAAATCATAATGATGGACAGTAAATGCTGCTTATACCTATAACACAAATAATGGAGAAGACGTTGCTGCTAAATTACATATTATCTTATTATCTGCAAGCAATTAAATAGTTCATTTGATAAATCCTTTTTACATCTATTATGTAACTGTACCTAAGTGATTGTGGTGAAAAATAAAACATTTTCTACATATGAAACAGCATTTCTTCATAGTTACTATATATTTCTGACTTTATCTTAAGATTTTAGGGTTAGAGCTAAGTTGATACATGTTTTATATTTGTTACTTGTCAGTTTTATTAATATAATTTGATAAAAGAGATCTGATGAATACAGTCTTTAAGCTTCATCTATGAGCGTTCTTAGAAAATAAGTTTTTCAAGATATGTAGAAATGATTAAAAAAAAAAAAGATTTATAATTTTAAAATTCAAAAGAAAGAATAAAGACATACCTGTTCAAAAAATGTTCCAAATGCAGTTTTATTTCTTTAAAATTTGAGGAGTTGGAATGAGGATGAAGGAAGAAGGAAAGAGCTTGATGTGTGGATCAGTTCGCTGCCTTGTATTTTTACATCTCACCACTCTTCAGACATCAAGCAAAGCAGAGCAGGTGTGTGAAGCTGGTTCATGAGGCAACAACAGGGAGGGTGGGGCAGGATGGAGTTGAGGATGAGTGCTTACTTATGTGTGAGGGGGTGTGTGTGGTCGTGAGACATAGCGCCTTTTCTATTGGGATGAATGTGTTCTTTTCCTATCCAATCAGGTATCGTGAAAGCTGTAGTCTTCATTCCTGATGCCTCACCTCTTGAGACCTCTTGTCCCATCCCTACAGGTCACCCTCACCAGGCCTCTGATGCATATTTATTAGTGTAGTGACATGGCTTTTTAAAACCTCGTTAGCATACTGAGAATTCAGCAATAGAGGGCATTTACATTCATAGTGGACAGCTCCCTATATGGTGTGTGTGCATGTGTGTGTGTTAAAGTGTGCATCTGACAGAAGCTGCAGAAATGTCTCATATGGTCTCTGTATAGTTGATGTAGCCTGATTTAGAAGCTTAGGATTTGGTTCCTGCGATAACAAAGGGATCGGGTTCCTGCTCTGTCTAGTTCACCTTGACATTTCAATGTTACTGTAAAGAAGAATGATACAAAGAGGGGGGGATAGGTCAGGGGTGGGCTGAGAAAGACACAACACATGGAACAATAGAGGATAGAAAACCACACGCTATCTGTATCTTCTTTTACAACAATCTTTATAGATTAGTTTTGGAGAAAAACACAATACTACTTTTTAAACTCTCAGTAAGGAGAGAAAAACACTGTTTGGTGAAAGCAAATTTTGAGATATAGCACAGGAAATTCACAGGAAATATAGCACAGGAAATTTACTCTATTATATAAATCACAATAATTTAGTGATTTATATAATAGAGTAAAAACAAACTACCACATAATGTCAAACGGAAGGAAAATGATATACATTTTTCTGCAGTGTTTAAAACAAAAAAGCTCAAAGTTTGGACAGACATGTGAGACAATAGTCACCTTTTACTGCAATATCATCTTTTCGGCTTTCAGGATACTTCACAATCAGCTTTGCAGGTCTAACTGAGAATATTTTCTTCATTCTTCTTTGAAAAGTAGCTCAACCTTGGTTAGATTGAAGTCAACTGGTTTTACTGGGCTTTAATCAGAGTAAAGTTAATTAATTTAAAGATAATTAAAACAAATGCATGTTCTTTATTTCATACATTATAAAACTTAAAAGAAAAAACATGTATGATTTTCCTTCCACCAAAAATGTATGCTCCCTTTAAGATCAGTCTTAATAGATTAAAATGTTTTATTTAAATGGTAAACAAGTTCAAAGAGTATGACCATATTTGCAAAGTAGTATACACCCTGAAATAATGAAGACCCAAAATTAAATTTGACCACTATAGAGCACGGCAAACTGTGTCATAATAATAATAATAATAATAATATAAAAGGAACCTCAAACTCAACGCTACTCCTCACATTTTAAATTGAAAAAGCTTTTTGGTTGGGAAGCAAAACGTCTTCAAACTTTGAAACAAAGTCCAGTGGACTGTTTTTT